AGGGATGAATCGATCAAATTAAGCCAATTTAGTTTTCTATACAAATAAAGCAACGGTGTAGTTGCAAACTTTCAACTCCCCCGCTTCACAATCCCCATCCTAATGTGAAGAAGAAACTATGGTGGTTTAAACTGACTGGAAACAGGCTTTGTCTAGAGCCAGTGTTTGGTTTGTCCGTTCCGGACTACTGTAGAAATATGGCGGTTCAACAAGGCAGACTCGGTAAAAGAGGACCCACTCCATCTGAACATAAAAACAGCTCATTCTAAGGTGATGAAAACACAATAATTCCTATATTCAGGTGATTTTACACTAATGAAAACATAGCTAGGAATACTATAATTCATTTCTGACAATAGAGCCTCCTAAATGTTGCACACAAAAAAATGTTTTGAACCTGTGTAGAACTCATGTAATTAGTATAAAATTCTCCCAATGCAAGCGAACAGTCAGGCAAGGGCCTAATCTTTCTCTGTTTGGTTTCTCCAAATCTTCAGTTCCTAAATTGCTCCTGCGCTGTTTGGGTCAGAGTGAGATCAGACGCTGGTTGCTGCAGATCGTGAGAAGCTGTAGAGCTCCGCGCAGTGGTGGATTTTGTCTGAACAACCCAATTGATTAACATGGACACTGAAAGTGAGCGTCTGGCGCTTCCACCTAATATGTCCCTGCTGATTGGCTACAAAAATTGAGTTTAAGGGTTGGATATAGATTGTTGGGCTTCTCAGTAGCGAATAATGAGTAGTAGCGAAATAGATAATGTGATGCTTGAAAAAATTACTTAATTACAGTACACAATGAGTACAATACTCACTTGAAAATGATGTGTACATGGTACCCAGTATGAAGTAAATTGAGACAAAAGGCTTTTTATTTTTGGCCTTTGCGAAGTTTTTTTGAAAGAGTGCGCTGAGGTGGGGTTTTTTCGATGTGATTTTAAATCATGTTAAAATAAAATCATGTTAAAAATATAAAAAGAAAATGTTTAAATGTGCATATAAACCTACCATTACAAACCCTATGGAATCAGTTCCACAAGTTTAATTCCACTTGCTATTTTTGCTATACCACCTGCCGACATCAAGCGATGTCTCAGGGAGCCATGATCTGCAATGCAATGATTGAATGGTATCCATAGCAACCAGCATAATTGAGTCCACCAGCAAAGTAGGTGTCTGTTAACACAGAAGTAGGACACTATGACCATCTATAGTATTGTATATGTAGGGTAACTGAAATACTAATACAGGGTGAGTAGCTTGTCCTTCACAGTTTTATTATTCCAGCATATAGTGACTGTGACATGAGTGGGTCAGTGCTCACAGTTTAGGTTTAAATATGCACATTATTATTACATGTACATACAGTATGCATGCTGGATATTTTTATCTTATTTTATTATGTCTGCCTCCGACCTACGTACATACAAGAAAAAGTAATTTTTCACTCCTTAATTTATTTCTGTCCTCCCTCTTTCTTTTAATGACACCACACACAACTTGAGCTTCTCTGCTCTCCAACAATTTCTCCTCCACCGCCTCACACATTACAAATTCAAATTGGTTTTAATACGGTGAGGAGGGAGCTGAGCCCATCCCTGCGGTTCGTATTTACAGTGCAGAGACTCTGAAGTTCCTTCTGCTCTCAGATGTGAAGCAGCGAATATCAGGGGGGTGACGGAGGTCCTCAGTCCCTCAGAGAGCTGTAATTGATTTGCTCTTTGTCCACCTGAGCTGTGGTGTTTGGCTCTGCAGATATCTGTTGACACACAGCCCCTTGCTTCATTCCTCTTTGCTCCTCAAACGCACAGTTTCTGACACAGTTGTGCCGTTGATCTCAGCAAAAGCAAATACTTCACACAGTATATTCATCTGAGGTTTGACAAAAGAATAGTTAATGAGCAGTGCACATATCAGCTGGCACATTTTATTAACTTTCGTGCTTAATGAGGGCTTTGCCTCTCAGATGTAGATCTCTTTCTATTGGCAGTTCGTCTGATTAAATATTAAAAAAGCCATATGTAAATGGATGCTTGATGTTTTTCCCATCCAGCGTGCCTCTGATACAGCATACTGGCATGATCCCAGCTCTTTGATCAATCCCTATCACTCCTGCCTGTTACCAGACCCTCACATGGATTTGTCACTACACTCCATGGCACCACTGGTTTTGGCCCACCCAGTGTTTAACATCAGCTCTGTTCATCTGACAGGAACCTGACGATTCCCATCTCTCCAAAAGCTTCTGATTCCAATCTGAAAGTCACATCAAAGCGCTCAGTTTTGCCTTTCATATGTTTGATGAGTTTCGACAGAGCAAGAAGTTTGTGTTTTGATCTGCCTGTCGTCTGTGTGTCCTTGTGCCTGTCTGAGTCGTATTTATTTTGAGGTGTTCAGAGAGGGGGTTGCCATGGAAAGGTGTCTGTGTCTGTGGTTGCTGCTAAGTTCTAAGCCAGAGCTGTAGTTTCTGATGGAGCAACAGCACAGGGCCACGGAAGTGAGATGAGCTTTGAATTAAGCCTGTGGGGACTATCGGGGGAAAAGTGTGTGGGAAATAGTTGCAGGGTGGTGGCAAACCTTAACGGACACCTAAGAGTCTCTTTTCAGTTTTCTTACCTCTCCACTAACAGTCTGAAGCGATTCAGTTCGGCATAATTTCCTGCTGCTCTGTTTGACCAAAGTACGGGTTTAGGGATTTAAACCCCCAGTAAGATCTAAAAGAGGAGCTTTACACTCAAGGCTTGATTAACCCACGCATACACCCACATTCCCCTAACCCATTTCTCCCAGAAGCCAACCAGTAGATACTACTTGCCCCAGATGTATAGACTCTGACTTGTGTCTGGTGGGAGCAAAGGAGGAAGTCAGGTGATGTTGTTATGGAGCGACAAAGACCTCAGAGGGAGGAGGGGTAGATGGATGGGCTGTTCATTTCTTGTTTTCTTTTACCCTTGACCACAATACTTTCCTAATCTTAAACACTGTGAGGTTCTTATTGTCACCATGACTATGTAGGTTCTCTAATCTTAATAAAGTACTT